GCGATTGTTTAGCGTCCGCCATTCAGTGTTGTTTTAACATGGTTCGCGGTAGGAAGAAAAATAACTGCAGTCCGTTAAAGTTGCGGCTTGTCAGAGTGTTCAGTAATGGAGGAACGACGAGCTCCAGCCAGCCTTCCAGCCCCACCGTTCCTCAGAGGCACTCGTTCCATTCAACCAGTCTGGAGTCTCTGAGGTTCCCTTCCAGACCCCAGTAAGTGCGCAGTACGTCTGACTCAATTCCAGAGCAAACTGATTATTGTTCTTATCTGTTGTGAAAATATAACTTCATTTGCTCCGTCTTCTCGGTACTACTCTACATATGCTTAAGGTTTCTTTCGTACGTAACACGTAATGGTCCAGTCGTTAAAAAACCAAATAATGACTCAGAAATCGAATCTATATTTCTAAAACATGGTCTTACAAATTTTTAGGTTTGTACTCGGGATAGGGTGTACCCCTTCTGTTCTTACTTTTAAATTGCTGGTTTAAAAGCATAACATCGGAGAAAGCTCCAATATCCCAGTGTTATTAACAAGTTCTTTGAAAATCAGCCAGTTCGTTCAAAAGTTGTTACGACGACCTAAATCCTACATCAACAGATGTGCCGTGCTGTTTCGGAAAGCATTGATTTAACATAGCCAGTGGACCGTGACTGAAAGATGAGTGATTGATTATATGTTCAATGGAGCATTGTTAATATTATACTACTGCAGAGTGTTTTCATTTTTCTTTCTTTATTTGCGCGTTTTTAGCTGCTAGAGTATCACTATCACATGTTTGAACACGACCGCCCTCTCCCTTGTATTTTTAATACTGTGTATTTTAAAAATGAAAAACTAACCTTCAGTGGATCCCTGTGTTCAAATTTCGCCCCAATTTCAACCCATTAACATCATTACGTCCGTAACGGGACGTCGTATACCGCTGCGCTAACCCACTCGATGTTAATGTTGGTTAGTAGAATTGTGAGAAACCTTTCAGCTGGTTTGTAGGCCCCACTCTAGAAGTAAATATAAAATCAGTAGGTTATTAGGTAAAGAAGAGACAACACAACTTCTGGTTTAATTAATCCGCGTAGTATCAAATAAACTTTTGACTTGAAAATTGCCTGTAATCAACGCTGGGGTTAGAGTTAATTTTTAGATTTTCTCGTACGTTTGCTTTAAAATCAACATATTTTGATGCTTCGTGAAAATAACACATCGTATTAAAGAAATATGCACAATGCAGGGCATTCACGAGATTAAGGACAGCAATTTTTGTTTAAAGCAGTTTTCCTTCTTTACCAGTCTTTATTGATTTAGCCTATAGTGATAGTTCATGTTATCCAAATCGAACTAATCACAAATATAACATATGGTTGTTAGTTAAGCCTCAAAACACGAACGTTGATAAAAATCTATTCACACTGCGAGGAGTTGTTACACAGGGGCAGGACCTACTCTCGTAGTTGAGCAATCAGGACTTCTGCTTCGTATCCTGGACGTTCTCAATGTTTACTGAGGGATTTAGTAATTTTTATTAGTTATTTTACATTAAAACGGTCACAGCCTCTTCCTTCCACATCTTTCCTAACTATACATTAGCAGCTATCGTCCCATTTGGCGTTTTATAACCTATGAAATTGGAGAAAGTTGTTAAATAAACACATAGGACGGACTAACGGACACTTAAACCTAATAGCTTTTTAAATATCGTCGCGAAATGAGTCTAAATCGGTTTATGTGATCATCGGTCTCGGTGAAATTTAATCAAATGAACCAACACGGCCTACAAATGCGTTGATGTAGTTACAGCTTGGATTTCCAAAGCTGCAGACAGCCGAACTTCTGTATTGCTAACAGGAAATTTTACTGAAATTTATTGTCTCTTCTGTCGTCTTCTTTTCTGTGTTTGTGTTCTGTTTCACTTTACTGCCTTCGAGTTAAAGCAGTGGATTTACATATATCAGTAAATCATGCAGTCGTTAAAACTAGATTGTACTGACTATTCTGAGATCTCAGTTTTATTCAATGAAGAATAGGTCATTAAAGAGTAAATAGAAACTTTTACTAGACTACAAACACTGGTTACGATAAAAGGCCATTCTGCTGTTCAAATATTGAGGATGTTCTAATGACACTGTACAAAGAAATCCCGAAGGTCACAGGCCCCCCTGTCACATTTAGCTGTGGGCTGAGCGATCCGAATATGACCATATTTAGTGCGGTAATGTTTCGTGTTCAAACACACTCCGAGATGTCTGGGGCGATGCCGGAAAAGCACACGTAATTTAGTTAGAAAGGTCTTGTGGGGCATGCCATCATCATAATGCATTTATAACTTATATAACAAAATGTTTTTCCCCAATTGCGTTTCCGAAACTCCCCACCAAGTGAAAGCCTAGATAGGCTATCGGATTCTGGAAATTAAATTAACTGATCGCAAAATAATGTTATTATCGTGGATGCCTTTAAAAATCATAGTACGTTTATATCTCACATATCTCCAGAGAAAACGCGTCAGACTTGTCTTTCGGGAAGTTTCCGCTTAGAGTTACCAGTCAGGAGGTTTACAAATCCACGTCAGTTATGGCTTCGACGTCTCCTACATTACATTTTTAGGTTTTCGCCGAGTAAACAGTTTTGTTCGTCTCACAAGGGAATGATCAGGTTGGAATTTTGATCGTCTACAGAGCCCATCTAGTAATGATTGTCCACAAAATTTTAGCTGCTGATACGCTGAGCAAAGGTGCAAAAAGATTCTCAAAATTGGAATGTTTATTTAAAATTCGCGCCACTGGCAATAAACAATTTTATAAAAAATAAAATAAAATGGAGGACTGTATCACAAATTTCTTAATAATTCTTATATAAGATAAATACTTGGGTTATTCTGAAAGGTTTTTAACAGCACAAAAGTATCTCGTCTACCACGCACTACTTTTACAAGCTATTCATAGCTGTTCTTTCCGACTGATACATATAATACTAATACAAAAAATGCCGACGAAAACTATGACCTAACAATTATTGTAACCGGGCATCCGACTTTAGTTTAGTTTTCTTAATTAATTTTGTTACAGAATGGAGTGCATTTCAGTTTATTCAGACAATTGACAAATAAGTTGTTTCCTCTTTACTTTTTAAATCTTCATGCGTTTTGTATATCAATGTCCCTTAGTTAAAATATCAGATATCAGAGTAAGTTGATTCGTTACTTCCTAATTCTGTATTGACTTCTCTCTTTGGTTATAGGAGCGACGGAAACCTGTCACTGGAACCATGCCTCGTAAGGTAAGTGCTTATTTGTTGTTTATTGTTTGGCAAAATGTAGGTTGTTTATCAGTACTGGAGAATCTTCGAGCATAATGTCTGAACAGAGCAACAGGAGTCTGTGCAGTAGATTCCCCTTTTTCTGACTTCGGTTATCCGACATTCATTCCGTTTTATACGTCGTGCTTTGTCGGCTTTATCGACAATGAACCCAGCCTGTAGTGGAATGAATCACACTGTTTGTTCCACTTGCTTTCATAATTAGTAACTCTGGATTTTGAACACAAAATGTATTAATGGATTTCGTACAATTCTCATAATAAGCAGGGATTATTTCCCTGAACAGCATTGACCAATTGACTTTGTAATGAAGACGCTTTGTGTTTTTTTTTCTCTAATTAAAAACAGGCTAAGTTTGGGAAGTGTTTGCTACCATTCACTAAAAAATCTTTTTTGTTTTAACTTGCATCTTATTCAGTATTTACGGATTAGGTCTTTTGGCCTGTTCCAATGTATCGAGGCTCCCCCTTTATCTAGTAGCAAACGGATGCCACAGTGTTTTAGAAAGCATTTTGTATTCGTGATTGATTGTTCGTTCGTATATCAACTTATAATGTTATTTATGGCATGATCGATTTAGAGGTGCGAGGTATGAGCGCCTGGCGTTTGACACTACAATGTCCAGACCGGCTCTGGATCCACTCAGCCTCCTATCCACGTATACTGTGGTTCTTTCGTGAAAGTATATCGACAAGAGTGTGAAGTTAATCACCGATCTCCACCACGTATCGAGATTAAGAATGCGTGGAGCTATACCTTCACTCTTCTATTCGTAAATCTGTTAAACATCAGGGGCAACTTTCTTTACCTTTCAGTAGACTTCGATGAGGAATCGGCTAAACTGTTCGTTGTTAAAATTAAGATTGCATCCTTGAAGCAGCGAATCGGTAGTTTCGAAAATATCAGCCTGTTACGAATGTTGCATTTGAACACGCGAAGGGCTATGAACTAATAAAGTGTAGTCGCACGTAGAGACATGAAACTGAAATATGCCATTGGATGCATTAACACGAAATGTCATTTGGTTGTTGACCTGACCAGTTCGTTATGCACCTTGATTAGCCATTTTGTTCCCAACGAGAAGTACATGAAATGTACCGCTCCATCCCGCACGGACACACCGGGGTAAGTAAATATTATCACGCTTGTAATGCAAATGGATCTCCTGTTTGGAATTTTGGAAGCGTTTCCCGCCATATGTTCCGGGCGTTTACAGTTTGTGTCGAGAGTACGTATTACCGTGGAAACTAAACTGACTTTCCTTGTGGGGTGCATGGAGAATAAAAAGAAAATGTCCGGCGTTTCGTGTTATCAGACGCAGGTCATATAAGTAACCGGAAGTTCAAGCAAGAGTCGGGCGCGGCTTCCGTTGGCTTTGCAAGTGGCTCGATCGTAACATCACGTATCTAGGAATGGTACTGAAGCACGAAACATCGCAAGAGCAGCAGGAGAGGGCGAATTCACTCTGATTTTACGTTTCATATTGATTGATTATATTAATAAACCTGAGCTAGTTTATAAAGGGGTGTGCGGATTTTAGAAAGCTGTTGTGAATACTGTAATGAATGTTCTAGTGAAGTCCCGGAAGTTTCTTGACTAGCTGAGTGATAACTAGCTTCTTAAGAAGGCCTCTGCTCCATGCAGTTAGGTCCAAATTTCGTTAGAACTTTGTTCTAAAATAACCTGGAATCATTCTTCTTTCCTTTGAAAGAATGTCTCAAAAGTTACAGATTTCAGTGAGATTTACAATTTGTACTGCATACAAAATTTTGTACAATTAACCGTTTTTGAGAAAACCGATGAAGTTCAATTTTAGCTTCACGTAAAATGGCTGCATTATCGAACCGATATGAACAAATATTAATTTCGCACAACGTTTGTTGCAGATCGCTAATTCATTTCAGTTTGTCTTTAAGAGGTAACATGCGGACTCGGCTACCTCATTTTACACTTACGCTAAATAAAAATCCTAGGAATGATGATATACACGAATTTTATGTAAGTATATTTAAAAGTACATTTTCTACCTCAAAGGAAATAACATATCTTCATAACGAAGTTTATTTGGTTAATGCTGTTTAGAGAAATAATTCCCCAAATACTCTGTGGGAAAAGCTCAGAGTCATTAAATGTTAAGGTAGGTAGTGCATGTGTCACCAATGTGCTTCAAAGAATTAAAATCACGCACTGTGAATGAAATAAATCTGCTTTATATGAAATGAGAAAGATAAATTAAAGTCGATAGTAATTCACTAAATGTTCGTGTGGAGATTTCGTCGTCTGTAAACAGAGCCCACACATTTCAGATTCTGTAGATGTGAGCAGAAGAACGTTGTGATAATTTTATAGACGGGTGCTGTGAAACAACAGTAAAACAAAATGAAATGCCATTCACTTTTCGTACTGAAAGTTTAAAATGTCAGAGAATGATATTTGCAGCAATGGACTGGGGCATGGATCAATGATATCTGTAACTAGAACTTCAGAGCAGCGTCGCCTTTTTGCTTTCAGTTGTTTTATATCGAATTGTTTAGTTTCGAGTCTTGAATATGTTGCAGACAGTGCTAATGTGATTATGAAAGTGATATTTCGAATATTACTAATAAACCTTTGAGCTTACACAATTTCTTATTCTGACACCAAGGTTTCAGACGACTGGCCAGCTGCTAAGAACATAATATAAAATACAGCCTTAAAATTAAATCATAACCAGTTTCACCTCGGTCCTTACAAGACGACAATTTGAAGCCTGTCACTTCCTTCAGTTGTCTTCATTACAGCACACTGTCATTTGACCCTTAAAACAAATGGCTACTGTAATTCGTAGAATCATGCTGTGACATAACAGTAGGGTTTAATAGCTCCTTTCAGCAGCTGAGTTATATTTTGCCACATCAAATTGAGTTCACATAAAGGGGAACTGGCTTTGTCGGTGTTTTGAATCGAGGTTAATGATATTCACATGTAAGTCAAAATTAATCTTTGTGTCAGACAACTGTAGTCGTAATGTACTGACAACCAAGGTTCTGCATATGACACGTTGGTAGAAGTTTACCGACGTTTCAGAGGTACTTGCTACCTCAATCATCAGGGTACTAAAAGTGGTAACAATGACTTAACCTAGTTACAGTGTCAGCTTTACGCATGTTAACCTAATGTGACCTGACTACTACTTTCTGAAACATAGCAGTTGGAATGTCAGTGTCGAATGTTTTAATTTCCGTCCTTCTTATGATGTTATTGGGATAATAACATAAAAAAAGAGGTTTTCACGGCGGTGACAATAATGATGATGGTGATGATCTGGGATTTGGCGCCTTGTAGACTGGTCGGTATATGCTCAGTTTGAACCTCACTCCGTCATAATTGACCATTCCCAGAATCGTCATTTCAGCCCTGAAGATGGAGACAGTACGTTTTTCCGAAACGCTGGCATCTATCGACCAGTCCACACGTCGCCAAAAGCCACAAGAACATCATTATAATAGCCATGTTTTTTTTCTTCTGGGTAACTGAATCCAGCTTTTCACTTCTCCATAGCTGCATGCACCCACAGTTCACACTATTTTAAAATGGGAACCAATGCATTGTGTTAGAAACTCTTGGCCCAGTGTCGAAAATTTCTTGCGAGGTATTCTCTCTATTACACTTATTATAAATATTTTCTCTGCTGTGACGTAGTTTTACTTCACCTCGACTTTATCTTCAGTTTAAAAATATCCTTTTTTAAGTTATCTAATCAATAAATAGCTGATACGGTACACACGTATTGAGCTCCTGTAAATCGAATTTGAAGGGACTTGGAAACAGGCTTGCTTTCAGGGCTCCAAAGT